TATAACTTGCATAAATGTTCAAACGAAAAAACGCAGAGAGACTCATGCAATACTTGAGCAAAAGATGTTTTGTTTACAACAAATGTGCCAAAACGGCACAGGTACAAAAGTTGGGGAAAAGAAAGGAAAAGCTAAACTGCTGCATCTTCGGAACCTGGAGAAAGAGAAGCGTCCGTACCCACAGGGGAAGTGGATAGATCCGCTGCCGGTTCAATATTTTGGCCTTCATCTTTTTGGCCCTCAACATCATCACCTTCCAGTTCCTCCTCTGTTGCCGAGTACTCAGAACCGAACCTAGAAGAATCGGTGGCATCAGGCCTGGCCGGAAGACCCCTTTCTGCAGCTAACTCTAACTCAAGGGCCTTAGTAGTTTCAACATCAAAATCAATGACACCCGCTTTGGCCTCTTCCAAGATTTTTCTCCTCATGTTGTACATAGAATGCATTTTCTCAACAATGAGGGAAGCCGCTCGGCGCTGAAGCTCTTCATTAAGTTGGTCAACCTCAACAGAAAGATTCTCCAGCGCGGACCTCACGGACCTAAGGTTAACATCAAGGTCGCATATAATTGAGCTAAAGAGCCTATTATGCTCAATAGTTCTCCTATACTTCTCCTCCAAATGGGCATACTTCATTCCCGAAGCAGCAAGCTCTTCGGTTTTGGAATTCCAGGCTGCCTTCAAACTGATCAATCTTTCAGCGGACGTAGCCTCAGGATTGGATGCAGCAAGAACGGCATTATGAACTTCAGCCCATTTGGCCTTACCCTCTTTAAATTGAACCTCAACGGGGCAATCTCTTGGCTAAAGGCCTCCACTTCTTTCTCGCTTTGCTGTAAACGAGCCTCTAACACAACGACCTCAGCAGCTTTGGTTTCCAGTTCTGAGAGGCGAGCACCAGCTTGGTCCGCTCAACTAAAAGTTGATCCCGCTCGGAGGTAAGTTCCTCCTTTTCCTGAATAAACCTCTGAAGGTCCTTAGAAGCAAGAAAGTTGGCCTACAAAATAAGAGCGGCAAACTCGGGATATTTTCTGGTAAAAATAGAAGAAATAGCAAAGAAAGTAAAGAATGTACCATCGCGGAATTGTGCATGGCATTGTTCAACAAGCACTCTCCCGAGAGAGCCTGTATCTTTTCCCAGTCTTTCTCTGAAGCCAAAGGCTTCAGATAATTAGCAAGTTCCACCGGCCGGGATAGCAAATTGCATTCGGTGGAGACCGAGAGAGTAACGCTCCTCCTCCTTTGCGGATCTTCTGAGGGGGCACCATAATTTTGCCCCAAATTCTCATGAACTGGGACTGGGGAAGAAGACCATCTTCTTATCGGGCAAACGCGGCCGGTGGAGATGATATAGCAGTTGCTGGCAGAAGATTTGGTGAAGAAGCTGAAGAAGCTGATGGCATTGAAGGATGAGAAGCAGCTGCGGCGAACGCAATACTGGTTGCAATCAAGGACGGCAGGGGCTTGGTACTCAGTCTCACGGTATCGGGCGCAGCGATTGGGAGCGGGCAATGAGAGTTGGCATTTTCCACCATTTAAACTCCCCCAAAGCACCGAGACATCGTCCTCGGTCGGTGTAACTAACTCAACAGGTTGAGCATTCTGTTGAGATGATAAGGATCGTCGTCTTCTATGTAGAGAAACTCCCTCATCACTAGCTTCTCAATCATCATCGATCATCATGGTGTCTATGATCGGCCCAAGCGGAGGGCTCGTCACCACGACTTCCGGAGATGACTCGGGGACAACATTCTTTGCCTGCTTATTCTTTCCCCTGGCCACGTAGGAACGCTTTGTTTTTGGTTTCTTGTTCTCTGACCGGGGACTCCGTGAAGAAATACTTGTACATGAAGTAGGCTCGGAGACACCTGTTCGAGTAATCGCCTCCTGAAGCAGCCTCGCTGCATCAGTAGGATCAGCCAAAACATCCTCCTTGGGGATAAAAACTGAGCCTAGGGGTAGACCTGAATTCGGAATAAAAGGGAAAAGATGAATCAATTTCCTCATACGAAAAGCAGAATGAGATTAGTCGGAGTTACCATGATTTTTGGCCTTCCACCCGTATTTGAGGGCCAGTTCTTTCCACGTGTGGGTTTCGAGTGTAGTGACGTCCAGGATTTTCTGGACCCATCGGTCCAAGCTTTCAACCCTAGGTGGAACCCATCGAGTTTCTAAAACAGACGAAGGAAGGAGGATCAATACGGATATGGAAAAATCTCTAATGAAAGAAATATTAAACAAGGAGCTTACGAATGCGATTCCATGATTTCGGAAAGTATGAAGCCGTTTCCAGAATGATGTCATTGGTGGCAACTGCAACAAATTATTCCATCCACCGACGGTCGTTATCATCATACATGCTAGATAATAGAGCATGGTGGTCGCGTTTGCTGAAGTTTATTATTCCCCCGCGGAAGATTTTGGGGGAATAGAGATTCATCACATGAGCTAAAGATAGCTCCTCTCCCATCTCTTGGCACAAACATCGAAGACAAGCAACTGTCCTTCACACAGAGGGACTTACTTGTGCCAAATACACCTGGTAGCAGAGGCAGAACTCCACAATAACGGAGTCAAGCTCTCTACTCAAATAAAACGCTCCCAAAGTAAAGGGATACGTGTAGAAGTATGTAAAATCCTCCCTGGGTAGGGTTACTCACTCTGATAGATCAGGAGCAATAATGTCCAAATCTTGGCAGCGGCAATCTTCCTTCATCTCAGGAATGCTGGAAAGGCGGATGGAAGAAGGATACAGGCTAATGGCCCATGTACGAGAATTAGCCAATTTCTCTTCGAAATCTTTTGTTGTAACAAGACTTCTAGGGATGATGGTGCTTACTGTTGGAGGAGCAACATCCTCGACTTTGTTCTTGTTCTTTGAAGAACTGGTGTTCTTTGAAGAAGAAGCCATTATATATTATGGAAGAAAGAAAAGTTTTGTTGAAGAACAGGATACAAGTTGAATAAAGAGAGTTTAGAGAATTTGGAGAATTATGGAGTATGAATGGAGAAGGTTGATGTGTATAAGTAAAAGTTTAGGCGGCTAAATTCGTGGGCAGATTACCTCGATAACCGGCAAAAGCTATGCTGAATCGTGGGACGACCCATATTTGGGGTATTTAATGCGGAGAGACGTGCATCTAATCAACCGTCAGAAGCTTTTCAAAATGAATCATTGTAATTCCCTCCAAATAGAGTGTTTCTACTAACTTTCTGGTGATACAAAGTTATGACACCGGAAAGCATAGGGACTATCTGTATTTAGGGTAAAATATGCTATGCCAGGTGGCCGTTTAAAAGAGTGACATGTGGAACCGAAGGCAATCATCCCGTTTGTCACTAGAAAGAATGACATTCGTAAAGATGCAATAAATATCCTCCGCCCGGTGGAATTTAATGGGTATTATTCCACAGCATTAAGTGCGCTGCCCGTTACGGAGAGCTTGTCATATATGCTCACTGTTACACCTTCATCAATGACCATTATAATTGACATTAAAGAATGGCATGATCCTAGGACCTTGTTCCCTAGGTGCAGCTATAAAAAGTGAGCTCTGTTATCATTGTAAAAGGAGGAATTTTCTGAAAAACTTATGCTATAATCTATTCAAAACTCTATACTTTTATCTTCTTACTTCTTGGTTTCATTATTATTGCGCCCGGAGACCTCGTTCCCGGAATTATTATTTCTACCATTTCATCTACATATCAAGGCTAAGCATAACATATTTTTCAATTCTTTTTTTATTTCGGGATCAAATTATTCATTTGTCTAGAAATCACATATAAATTTAACTGTACCGTTTTACGGGTAAACATTTCTTGAACACAAATGGATCATACACAATAACTGAACAAGGTCATCTTAGCCTCCATTTCATTTTATATAACAGTGTTTGACTTCACATAATTAAAAAATAAAAATAAAAGACTTGACAAAACTTGTGATATTAGGAGTGATGTGAGATTTTTGTGATTGTAGGAGGATTTCATGATTAAAAGTAAAATAAAAAAGTTAAAAACTAAAAAAGAAAATCTAAAATATAAAGATATCATACTATTTTCAAATAAAATAAAAAGAAAAGAGTGTTAAAGGAGGTAATATTACTCCCTCTGTATTAGATGACACATTGTTCTTATTAGTCTGTTCCAAAAAGAATGACATATTTGCACAAATGGAAATAATTCAATTTTAAACTCTATATTTTACCGATTTTACCATTAATGAGAAGCTTTTAAAACAATACAAATATCATGGCCCCACAAAACTTTTATCCCTTAAGCTTTTAAGACCACAAGTTTCAAAAGTCTCCCTTTTTCCTCTTAAACTATGTGTCGAGTCAAACTACCTCATCTAAATTGAAACGGAGGGAGTAGAAAAGTGCTACTCTCTTTGTCCTTATTTATGTCTCGTACTACTTGTAGTCTGTCCCAAAAAGAATATCATACTTATTAGAAATAATTTAAATTAAAAATTTTAATTTACTCTTAATGAAATAATTTACACTTACACAAATATCTATAATTTGTTTTAGTCAATAAATTCTAATTTTTTATTTTCTTAATTTCATGTCGAATCAAACACCACTACATAAATTGAGACGGAGGAAGTACGAGTAAATCATCAAATTAAATTAATGTGAAAAGTATATGAAAAAGGAACAAAATGTGGGGTCCACTGTGCTTGGCTCCCTACTCCCCACCTTCCAACGCAGAAACAACAGACTCTTGACTCTTTCTGCCTCAACTAGCCTCTAGTAGAATTTTTGTGTTTAATTTCCTCTTTTTCACATCCGTTTTTCAAATAGGTAGAGATAATATATAGGTCCAATGAAAGCTTCACATCATATCATTTATCTTATTATTCTAATAATCATATTAATATAATATATGCAACTAAAGAGGCTTCCATTCTAAGTAACTTGCAGCCGACGGATCTTAATAACAAAGAAGAGTAACCCTCTTTTCTTCCTTTCTTCCTTCTCATGACCATTTCTCTATATAAAACCCTTTCTACAAGCAAATAAGCTAGCTAGTAAAGAAAAGTCTGATATATTTGCAAATCCTGACTAGTAATTTATAAACTAATTATTCCTTATTTTTGTTGGTTATAATGGGTAGTTGTATGCAGGTTATTAATGAAGAAGCTGATCTGCATCGGGATGACATATTAGACCTTCCTCCTGGATTTAGGTTTCATCCAACTGATGAAGAAATTATCACTTGCTACCTTAGAGAGAAAGTTATGGACAAGAGATTTACAGCTATAGCTGTGGCAGAAGTTGATTTGAATAAGTCCGAACCTTGGGATTTACCTGGTAATTATTACTACTTCAAAACAAATAAAGTCAAATTCATAATTCAATTTTTTCATATTGAATTAATGGTTGCAGCTAAGGCAAAAATGGGAGAAAAAGAATGGTATTTCTTTTGCCAAAGGGATAGGAAGTATCCAACAGGAATGAGAACAAATCGTGCAACAAAATCAGGTTATTGGAAAGCTACTGGGAAAGATAAGGAAATTTACAAGGTCAAAGGTTGTCTTGTTGGACTGAAAAAAACTCTTGTATTCTACAAAGGGAGAGCTCCTAAAGGAGAGAAGACCAATTGGGTCATGCATGAATATAGACTCCATGGAAAACTTTCTTTTCACAAGCCAGCTATGGTACATACTTACTTCCTTAATTTGTGTTTTACTTTAATTTGTCCTAAATGATTATTTACTTTAAACTTCCAAATTCAGTTCAACAAATTTTCACTATGAAAATAGGCGTGATGTTAATAGATTTAGAAACTATATGTAAGTTACTCAAATCGAAATGTATCCTGTTTAAAAATATTAGTAAAAGATTTTGTAAACTAGGCCTATGTTAGGTACTCCTTCCGTTTCAATTTATGTGGACCTATTTGATTGGTACGAAATTTAAGAAAAAATAAAGATTTTTTGAATTTGTGGTCCTAAACAAGTCAAAAAGGAGTCCAGAGTATTTGTTTGGTTATAAAAGTTTCTCACTAACGGTAGAATTGTAAGTTTAAGCTAAATTGTTTCTAAATTTATATATGGGTAATTATTTTTAAAACGGACCAAAAAAAAAAATCTGTTCACGGGAAGGAACGGAGGGAGTACTAGTTATTAAGGTCAGAATAATTTTCACTCAGAAAAACATGTACGGAACTCTTATCATTCAATAGGAATTTGACTGATTTTTCAACAATAAAAAAAATACTCTTAGAAGTTAGACCAAAGGTGTTGATAAAAGGATTTAACTAAGATACACTAATAGTTTAAAGAACTTTTACATTATCAATATTATTGGACTTGTTATAGTTGATTGCACACTTTATCTTCAGATGACTAGTTGTACTAATTTTGATGACTTATTCTTTTGCACGGGAATTTAATCAAAGTGTCGCGATACTAATTTTGCTATAATTAAATGATGGCAGGACGAATGGGTTATTTGTAAAGTTTTCCACAAGAACATAGGAGTAGGAAGAGGTTCACTATTTATGGAAGATCTCTTAGATAGTCCCTCTTCACTGCCTTGTTTAATAGAAATCCCAAAAAGTAGTGACGTTCGAGATGAACTCAACATAAGAGCCGCTACTATTGTTGGACGGAAACCCTTGGACGGAAATCACCTGATTTCTAGTAGTGTTACTGCATCGACATTTGATGAAATACACTCTTCACCCTACTTTTCCACTGACATCTTCAACAATTATGCCTTCAAGCAGCAGCAGCAGCAGCAGCTATTACGAGAGGATGAGAAGAGCTACGGATTATTTGTACCCACACATTATATCTTCACTGGCATTAATGATTATGAGCACAACAACCAGCTTGCCAGTTCCAGTAACTCATCGTTCAACCATGATCAATCACTTCCTCCGAATTCAAAAATTTCTGATTATTCATTAGAAAGGCAGCAGCTCTCGTCGAACAATAAATCTATGATTAGTCTTTCACAGGATACTAACGAGATTTCTTCAGTGATTCAAAAGCAAGGATTTGATAGCACTTTAGCTGCAGATCTTGATTCCATATGGAATTATTAGTTTGATTTTAATCTGTTAAAGGAAATCATTAGGACATTATATTGTACAGCTTACTCATTTGTCTTTAACTCTTTAGGTAATTCTTTTCACTGAGATAGAATATATACTAATTTGAAGGGGTTGGTGATTACTACTATGGTACCTTTTATGTAATGTTAATTAACATTCTTTTCTTTTATTTGTTAATTTATTTTTAAGTTAACTCTTTGTGAAATATTATACTCCCTCCCTCTGTTTCAGTTTATATAAACCTATTTCCTTTTTGGTCCATTCCTAAAAGAATGATCCCTTTCTAAATTTGGAAACAATTTGGCTTAAACTTCCAGCTCTATCCTTAATGAGAAACATTTATAACCCACACAAATATTGTGGACTCCTTTTTGACTTGTTTAGGACCACAAATTCTAAAAGTTTTTATTTTTTCGTAAACTCTATGCCCAGTCAAACAGGTTCACATAAATTGGAACGGAGGGAGTAGCTTAACTTGATGGTGTAACTAAGTCTTAGAAATAAAACATCTCTTATTTAATTTGAGTTGTCACAAAAATTTATTGAAGGATTTACAAGAATTTTGAACCATGATTCACATAAAACATTTGAGTAATTCTAGATGTAATATATTGACATAAAATTTACTTTGACAGAAGGAATTTTTCAAATACCAGTAGTAATATTTTAAGAAAGATACCATTATATTGGCATTTCAAAACGATATTTTATTAAGTAATTCAGTTATTAGATATATAGCATTAATTTAGTTTAGAGGTAATCAACGTAATCCCTTTAATTTATTTTTTGCTTTTAGGGTTGGGGGAGGGGAGGGAGAGACATCCCATTCAAAATGATAATATGCATGTTCTACTTATGAGGTGAGCAAAAGGCATAGGTTTTCCAGACAAATGATTCCTTGACCACATTCATTGGAATTAATAATTGTTCTACTGCTCCCTTCTCATCATTAGACAAATAACAAGGCATAGATTTCTTAAATGAAGCTTCAACTTCTGTCCAACGTAACTTCATCCTTAAATCTGGGGTTGTGGATCATATATATCCTTAGCTGTTGGAATATTCCCTTTCTCCTTTAATGAATCTGTAGCTCACACGTTTTCTCCTCCTTTTCTTGTCCGTGTACTCTACTATGCCTACGCATATACATCTTTACTAAAAACAAAAAAAGAAAAGAAAAAAAAAAGAACAGATAACACCCTATTTAACTTCTGTTATTGCAAATTATGACACACCGGAGTTTGAGGTCGGATAATACTCGTATCAACTCGTATAGATGCGATCATCTGTGATTAAACTTCTCCCACAATCATCAAATTAAATACTACTCCAATAGACTGCATTCTAGCTGTCACGACCCAAAATCCCAATCAATCGGGGTCGTAATGACGCCTAACACCGCTTGCTAAGCTAGCCAACACACAACAGAAAATGCGAAAGAATTTCTATTAACGACTAACGGCAAGTAATAATACATTGTAAAAGCAACTCAATAAAAGTATACATGATAAGTCTAAGATCAACACTAACGTTCAACCATCCCAAAACGTGGAATCACAATACATGAGCTACTAGAGTTTACTAAATACATTGTTTTTAAAAGAAATACAATATTATCTGGAAAGTAGAAACAATACACTAAAAATAGAAAGATGGCTCTGAGGCCTGCGAACAGAATACAGCTCTACCTCGAATCACCTGAGTGGCATCCGCTAAGCACCTCTCGGAACTCCGCTGGTACCAATGTCCGGATATGCACAAGAAGTGCAGAAGTATAGTATGAGTACAACCGACCCAATGTACCTAAGTATCGAGCCTAACCCCGACGAGGTAGTAACGAGGCTAAGACAAGACACCTACAATAAACCTGTGCAGTTATATATCAAGAAGTAACAAAATAACAAGTAAAGTATCAAGTATAATAACGGGATAACAGCAAGTGAAAGGGATAACAAGTACTCAAGTAAAGGGGCATAAAACTGGAAATTAAAGTAAAGTGTCACCGAGTAAGCCTCGACTCGTAGTTTTACACCAACTCCGATCAACCTTTCAAAAGTAAATAACGGAGCCACAAAGACGAGTCCACATTCCGAATGTCAAAGTAAAGAGCAATGAAATCAAAAAAATTGCATGGCATCACCCTTCGTGCTTTTACTCTCTTCCTTACATCATAATATAATAGCAAGCACGCCCTTCGTGCATATCCTTACTTTCACTCAAGCACAGAAACACCCTTCGTGCAATGATATCAATGTATGAATATGTCACGACCCAAAATCTACTAGCTGTGATGGCATCTAACCCAACCGCTAGATAAGCCAACTAACAGTCAACATGTCACGACTTCAAAATCTCACCTTTAGGGTCGTGATGGAACCTAGTCTCTAAGACTAGGTAAGCCTAGCAAATGCCGAAAATTAATAGCAATAAACAACTTATCTATTAAAGTAAACTGATAAATGACATAGTAGAAGCTGGAACCGAACAATAGTCATACATCACCAAAATCGGAAGTACGGAGTCAAAAGCTCTACTGAAATACACTAGAAATCTCTAAATACAATAATATTTTGGAATGAAGATAAATAGTAGTAAAGATAATATCATAAGGTGACTCCGAGGCCTATAAGTGTCAAGCAAGTATACCTTGAAGTCTCCGCAATGTCTGAATCAACTCACTAGCGTCTGACACAGTACGAGGTACCTGGATCTGCCTAAAAATGTGTAGAAGCGTAGTATGAGTACACCACAACAGTACCAAGTAAGTATCAAGACTAACCTCGGCGGAGTAGTGATTAGGTACAAGTCAAGACACTCACTATACATGAAAATATGTGCAGAATATTAATATAAAGCTAACAACGAAAAGTTAAAGCAATAAATGACAACAAGGAGTAAACATGTAATAAAACCGCAAAATAATCAAAAATACAATTAAATACAAGTGAAATAATTTAATAAATACAACAAAAATTTAAATAATCAAGTCGTTCCAACACAGAATGTACAATAAGAATCACACCGAGATACCACACCTCATAATCACAAATCACAAGTAACAAATCACCGGTCTTCCTTATAATGCCGCGTGAACTGTAAATTTATTTTAATTTTTTTTTTCCGAAGTAGCCTCACGCGCTTTAACCCCCTTATCTCGCCGTGTGTGCTTCAAAATGCAGTAATTTTTCTTACTAGCAACACGCGCATAAAACCCCATTATCTCGCCACATGCGCATCAGTATCACCCCCATTATGTCGCCGCATGCGCATCTCATCACAACAAATTAATCAACACGCACCACACGCTCACATATGCCACTACATTGCCAAAACAACAATACTGATATCACAATAATACATAGCCCTCGGCTCGAAATAATGTGTACAAGAATCTCAATAACAACGAAATAAAATAGGAAATAACTCAACAATGAAAGATATTCTCTATAATAACAACTTCAATTAAACACATGTTAATAGCCCTCATTAACTATAAAATAAAACGGGAAATAACTCAACAATGAAAGGTATTCCATTTTACAACAACTTCAATTAAAAATATGTTAATAGACCTTAATAACTACAAAATAAAACGGTCTCAACATTGAAGGATATTCCTTATAACTACAACTTCAATTAAAGTCATGTTAATAGTGTAAGTGTCTAAGTTGGTCAACTACCACATATAAGTTCGTGTACATGCTCATCACCTCATGTACACGTGCTTCACATAATTCAAATCCACTTTAGTAAAGGGTTATATCAACTCACCTCAAAATTCCTTGAGCCAATACGTAGACCCTAGTCCAATTTATACCTGTCAAACAATTGATTCTATAACAACCAGTGCATTTGAATTAAATTTCAAAGTTTCACACCTAAACATGAAACTTACTGTTGATTCAGAGAAAGAAGGGAATTAACTATTCAATTCTTACCTATTACTACTGTAGGATAATTGACAATAGAGAATTTATATACCCGAGTTCAAGATTAGTGATTTATAAAGAAACCTAAAACTTTTCGTTGCCTGCGTGAGTATTGAGCAGAAAGGCTGCCTCAGCTCTGTTTCGTAGCGTTCTGTTTCACTTTTTCGTATAAGACTTTTTAGCCTTCTGCTTTTGCTGAATGAACAAAACGTTTAAGCCTTTTGTTTTGTTAAGGCTTTTTAGCCTTCAGGCCTTTTAGTTTTGTTTTGTTTAAGGCTTTAAATCTTTTGCCTTCCCATTTTATGGGCTTTAGGCTTGTCCCTTCTCTTTTTTTTTTCTTTTTCTTTTTAACTTAATTAATAATTAATGATACTCATTCTTAATAATTAATAATATTAAAAATATTAATATTCCCTTGCTTGTATATCACATTAATTATAAATAGAAAAATAACTCAAAAGTCAATCATAAGGGTTTAAATCCGTAATAGAAGTAAAAAATTTATGCACTCAAGGCAAAATTAAAAAAAAAAATCTATATTTAGCGTGTCTTGAAACTTTTATAGATTTGAGGAGTGTTACAATCTTCCCTCCTTAAAAACATTCGTCCTTGAATGTTGCTAGGGCCTTATTCTTAAGCTAACAATCATTCCTTAAGTCCTTGAACTTCTTAAGTTTTCTTAGCACTACTCACTTTCCCAAGGGACTCAAAATTTTTGCTAACTCCCTAAATTTTTAAAAATTTCGGCAGAGACTCCTCTGTAAATTGGACTATCCAAAAATATTTCTGTCACCAATACCACAACTACACCAACAACAAACAAGTATACCATAACAGGCCATTCATATGCACCATACACAGCTCATAAACTAATTACTCACACTCTGGCAAGGAGGTACCACAATAACTAACCAAAATCTAAAGCACAACACTTCTGCAAAAAGTAAATAACTTTAATGAATTAAATATACTCTAGCATGGCAAAATTATTAAATAACTAAATATACTCTGACAGAAACTAAATTACTTCAACAACTAAGTATAATCTAGCAAGGACATAAACACATGCTAACTTGTATTTAATAACTAAAATATAAATGTCTTTTGAATCATGATTACTCCATAATACTTTTACTGATGCTATGTCTTTTGTTCTTAACTTTCTTACTTGCCTATCGAGAATTTTTATAGGTACCTC